GAAACGAACGTGTCAGTGATCCGGGGGAGGAGGGAGGGAGGGTGGTTCTCCACGAACTGCCAGACTTCGGAGTCTGTACTTCAACGCGCACTTGTCCTTAGTCTTAGGTTTTCCATAGGTCGTCGGAAAGCTGGGCCCAGGCAAGTTCTGCACTCTTACCCCCACACTTCCAGCTCGAGGGGGGGGGGAGCAGAGCTTGGGGAGCCCTCACTGAAGTTCTGCCTTTCATTGTAAGTGGTCGCAGAGGGGCGGAAGCTGCAACCACTCTCAGAGCGCCTCTGTGTGCCACACACACCAGCACCCACAATCTCAGGGACGATGGTCCCTGGAAGCTGAGAGGTCTGACTGGTGTTAAGGGTTAGGGAGAAAGAAAACTGGGACCGGAGGCCAGAGTGAGGGGCTCGGGAAGACCATGGCTGCCAGAAGAGGCCGCTCCCTGCTGGAGCTCTTTTTCAAGGAGGAAAAAAAAATGGATTTTTCAGCCGCCACAAAGTTTGTATTGTTGCACAAAGGGGTGCATTGATGACGGGAAAAGTCTGCATAGCAGGACAATCTTGAGTCTGTTTAGCCGGCTCACTCCGTCCATCATTTGCCAGAGGGGCACAAACAGACCCCAACTGCCAATCCCAGTCACTGGCACCCGGCTCAGGGATGTTGACAAACACAGAGCCCAGGCTCCTGGACCCCCCAGGAGTCTGAAGCAGAGCTGGGTCCTGAGGGGCCAAGGCTGTCTTCTGTGCTATGATGATGATGGTGATGATGATGGCAGTCTGAATCCTGGTGTGGGCTCTAGGGGCCCCCAGAGTGTGGGGGGGAGGGGTAGAACACCACAAGAGAGCACTTCCGTTCAGATGGACAGGAAAGAAAGTAGAGGGATGGTGACTCTGTAAAACCCTGACAATCACAGCCTGAGATGTCCCATTGTGGTGATATTGACAGTTACCTGTCACACAGGTCTTACCCCCTACATCTGCCAAGCCCTGTTTTGAGCATGGAGCTAAGTCATTTCTAGCAATAACGAACCTATTCAGTAGCTTAGTTTGCAGATGGAAAGCTGAGGCACTGAGAGGTTAGTGTGACTGAGCTTGTATGGGGGAAATCAAGGTACAGATAATGACAAAGTTGTAGAGACTGCCAGGCAGTTGTGAACACTCCTTTTCAACAGTCTTTAGAGGTAGGTCCTATCATAAAAGTTCATACAGATCAGGATAAGGAGATACACAGAGATTAAGGAACATATCCAAGGCCTCAGAGCTGCTAAGTGCAAAGCTAGATTCAAACCCAGGCTGCCCCCTGGTAAACTGGGGTCAAAGGCAGCAATCCACTTGGGGATGGAGACTGAAGAAGGACTCGGTGACCCCAGTAAAATAACCCTGCCCAGTGCTGGAGCACTACCACGGAATGCAAAGCACTGGTCACACATTCCTGAGAGTTCCTTGCTGCCTCAAACAGACTGAAGGTCTCTCCTCATTCACTCTTTGGCTTCTCCTAGACTCCTTATTTGTTCTACCAGCCTTTGGATCTGGCTCAGGCAGCATTCTGGGAGAGACGCCCTCCTTGATACCTGCCCCCCCCTCCAACCCCAGACCAAGGAAAATTGCTGGGTTCAGAGTATTCATAGCCACAGCAAGTGTCCAAAAGTGGCACCTAGCCGGCCTGACCCGCAGGACTCCAAGTTGCATTTCAAGGATACTGATCACTACTTGGAATATATTGTTTGAGGCTACTGGGAGGAGTGGGGTTTACAAGAGATTGGAGAAGCGTAGCCCATTTCCCCCATTTCTACTGCCTCCTTCTGGGAGCTGCTACTGCATGCAGGGTGAGGAGGTGGGGGTCTCCAGCTTAAACTCTCCGGTCAGCCTCCCACTCCCTTGGGTTTTTCTTTCTTTCTTTTTTCCTTCTGGACTCCGTGTGGTCTGGGGCCCAATTCCCCAACAGATCTCCTGACGATCGCTCAGAGATCGGGGTGCGTGGACACCCCCATCCCCGCCCCTGCCTCCTGCCTGCGCGCGCGCCGGCGCGCACCCCTGCAGTTTCTGTGGCCTCCCACGTTGCGTTCTGAATCGGCTGGGCGCAAAGGCAAAGAAAGAGCGTGGGGAGCGGGCAGGGCGAGCCGAGGCTCTAAATCTTCCTTCAGTCGGTGAGTGGATGAAGTTGGAGAAACAAATTCAAAGCAGGCGCGCCTGCAGAGCCTTCCTGCAGAAATATTCCCCGGCATTCAAGCGCATCCAGGGGCGGCTTGAGCTGCCTTGTTTGGCTAAGGTCTGACGAGACTCTAGTTCTCCAATAAAAATAAATCTCAAATTAATTATGGCCTCGAGCGAGAGGCCAGACATTGGAAGCTGCAGTTTGTGCAGTCTGGAGTTTTGGCACTCGCTGGCCCGCCCACCCCCTCCTCCCCGCCCCCACCTCCTCCCGCCCGCCCTTCTGTTGGATCTCTTTCCCCTCCCCCTTTGCCCGCCCCGGGTACCCAGTACGGCCACACTGGACCAGCTGCCGGGGAAGGGAGAGGACCCGGAGGGGAGGCCCCGCCTCAGACGCCCAGCCTAGCCGGGCATCTATAGGAGTTTCAAGTGACCCCGATGTCCCAGAGTCTAGAGGCACACAGGGGACTCCGCTCCGTTTGTGGCGTCCTCCCACCCCTGACCCAGGCTGAGAAACTAAGGAGCCCGGGAAGCCCGCGTCTGGAAAGTCTTGACCCGGTCAAAAGGGCTGACATTGAGCGAGCCAAGACACGTTTTCGCCCGGTCGTCGTTACCCTCCCGAGGGAAGCAGGACTTCCGCATCTTTGAAAACGTTGTCAAGGACGATGTGCACCAGCCAAGCCCTCTGCTCCACGTTTCAATGAAAAGGCTCCAAATATTGCCTAAATATCCTCCCCCCCCCCCCCGCCCCGTGTACATGCCTTGTATAAGACTTAGGAATGCGCGAGGGGCTGGTTTGTTGTTGAAGTCTTTGTACAATTTTTGTCTCCAGTTGGTAGTTTTTTAAAAAAAGTTTTTATTTGTTTATTCATTAATTAATTTATTTATTTTTGTTTTGGGCCTGGCTGCTTTGGCTGTGAGTGACCCCTAACTTTGAAAGCCAGGAAGGAGTTGATGAAATGGGCGCCGCTGGTATTCATACCAGATCGTGGGCCCAGCCCTGCCCAGTCTGGAAAAGAGTGAACCCAGGCAGTGCTTGTGGAGCCAGGAAAGAGGGTGTGCACAAGTGTGTGGGCAGGGGCAACCATTCCCAAGCTAGGCTGGTAGACCAGGGAAAGGGGGGGGGGCTGGGAGAAGAGAGGGAGGGGAAAGAGGAGAGGGTGGAGAGAAAGAGGGAGGGAGCCGGAGAGGGTAAGGAAAGCCACACGCCCAACACAAGACAGTTTTCATTTGTATGGGGCCTCACCGCAGGCTCTCTATCAATTTGTCTCAATGCAAACATTCAAAATATTCTCTTTGGCTGCTCGTGAAAACAATGTGAGCTGCCAGGATCAAACCATCTTTCCAGATGTCTGGTGGTAACCACATTAAACGGGGCAGACTTGTTTACTGTTGTGTTTGGTTAGGGCTCTCTCCCCACCCCTTTGGGATTTTAAAAAAGAACCAGCAGCAATAGAATGAAGTATCTAGCCCAGAGTTATATAGGTTAGGCCAACTTGCCCACTAGCGGATCAACACAGGACTGGAAAGAATCTGATATCCCTCCACCTCCCAGAATTGGGGGTGGGAGGAGGCCTTTCTGAGTGGAGATCCTTATGAATGGGCCTTAGCTCTCATCAGAAGAACGAGTTAAGTAGTAAGAAACAGTAGCACTAGTACCAATCAGGGGTCCACAACGCCTACGTCTGTGGACAGGGTGTTGCTTATGCCAGAGCACACCCCTCCCCCATCTCCAAAATTACGAAATCACCATACTTTTGGTTTTACAGGCAAAAACAGAAAGTGTTAGTCTTACAACTCAGACAGGCAGGCCAGTCTTCATTTTCATCTAGTTTTCTATTGCACACTCCCCAAAGGCTAGGGAATTAGGCTTAATGAAACCGGGAGTCCTAGGAATGTTGGGGTGACCCTTGATCAGAACAGTGAAGACAACCGGTATTTGGAAGCCAAGAGGAGTTGGAGAGAGAAAACCTGTTGGTTGCATTGTCATCATTGTGTGTGGTGGGGGGGGGGGGAGGAGTGTGGGGGAGTTGCCTCTTGTGAAGTGGCTATTCACAGCCTCCGTGTATAGTAAGCCCTTGGAAAGGGGGCTCTCCATCATGGACTTGAGTGATTTCTTGCTGAAAGAGGGGATGGGGTGCTTAGTTTTCTGGTGAGGTCCTGGTGAGACTCAGTCTCCCCACACCCTCCCCAAAGCCTTGTTGTCGTTTGAAGGTCGGTAGAGTCTGGGCTGAAAAGGAAACAATTTGGGGTTTGAAAGGATGTAATTCATTCTTCCCTTCCCTTTAACCTCTTTCCTCTCTGGAAAGCATGTGGAAATGCTGAAGGGAAGAGCAAGAGGGCGGGAGACGGGCTGGTGGGGAGGAAAGGGTTAAGCCTGATTTCTTTTAATTGAACTCCAGAACTGGTGGCCCCCGGCAAAGGGGGGGGGGGAACTGACCCCGCTAGCGGTAACCAGATGTGGCGGTCCCTAGGGAGCCTCGGAGCAGACCCCTGGATTGAGAAGCAGACAGGAGGGAGGGGGGGAAGTCCGCCCTGGCCCCCACTTCACCAACCACCCCACCCCACCCCCCACACGCACAGCGGAGTCTCAATTGCTGGCTGGCTGCACCCGACACTGCAGGTCTGGTCACGTTCAGACCCGTGTCTGTATTCGAACTCAAAATTGGAGCTGAATTGATGAGACTAATTTCGAGAGGGGGAGGGGGAGGGACGGAGGGAGGCGAGCAAGCTCTGGGGCTCGATTGCTCCTGAAGAAATAAAGCATTAATAACTCACCTTTTTTTTTTACCCCCGCCCCGCCGCCGTGGACACCCTTTTGAATTTTTTTTTCTTTTCAATTTACTTGGATCATCTCTGGATTTTTCTTCTTCTTCTTCCCCCCTGGGAGGACTCTTAAATAAAAGTGAGAAAGTCCCAAGTCTGGAGAGCGTGGACAAGGTAACTGGTTTTGAGACTGGGGAGAAGGGAAGTCAGGCCAGACAGCCCCCCCCCCCCACCCCTGGGCGCGACAGCCCAGTAGAGGGCCCGGGAGATCTGTGGGTGAGCCGGGCCTGCGAAGTGGACCGTGGGGAGGCCGGTCACCCGGCGGGGTGGGGATGCCATTCCCGAGAGGGGGATCCCAAGTCTCACCGGGGAGATGTCTGGATCTGCTGTGCTGCGCTCTGGCGTGCTGCGCGCCGTGGGGGGACATGCTGGTCGGCGGCGTGGAGGGCAGGTCGGCCGCGGGGTCCGTTCCTGGGGGGGGGGGCGGGCGAGAGGGGCGCGGACTTGAAACGGCAGCTTTGGCTTGAGAATCTAGGCTTGGGCAGTCGGGTCTGGGTCAGCGAGGGATTTAACTAGGTGCTGTTAGTCCTGTGGCCTTCGGTGGCTGCAGGATGCCCAGATGTGAGTCGCGCCAACGGGAGGGAACCCCCTTTTTCTTAGTAATGTCTGGGGTCCCGCCCCTGACAGTGCAGGTCAGCCTGCAAACTCCCCAAAAGCCTCAACGGTGAGTGAGTGAGAGAGTCGCTCCGGGAGTCGGCAAAGTCTCGGCAGTGGTGGGGCAGAGTGGGGAAACTCCATCGATTTGTTATTATTATTAATTATTACTATTAATGGTTGGTTTGCTTCGGTGTGCGTCCAGATCATCCCCCAGCAATAGGCGCTCCGGCCAGGTTATCCCACGTTCTAGCAAACTCCCCCGCCGTCGTCTTCCCATCCCCAAAAAAAGTTTGGACTCCGGCTGGAAAAAGCATTAATGAACGTATCTGTGGGAAGAAACGGAAAGTGAATGAGTCAGGACGGCCACCTTGGGCCAAGGGCCCCGGGAAAAGGAAAGAATCTAACGGCGTTTGGCTTTGGATTTGGGGACGGAGGGGGGTGGGGTGCGGTGGGGGGGTGTGGAGGTGAAGGGGGCAGCGTTGCCGACCGCGGGGAATCAGGGCGCGGACGCTGGGCGTGAACCCCGTCATTGTTCCCCGGCCAGCCCTTATCTCCCTGAAGCAAGTATCCTGTGCGCGCGGTGCATGAATGCATCGGGCGATCTCTGCGTATATTTATATAGTGTGTGATGCGAAAAGCAGGACCAGCCGAGGAGAGGAAGAGGGGGTGTGGGGGAGGAAAGGCAAGGGAGAGAAGAGAGGAGAGCGCGAGCCGAGAGAGAGAGAGAGAGAGAGAGAGAGAGAGAGAGAGAGAGAGAGAGAGAGAGAGATAGGACTTCCTCCCCGATCGCAAAGTGAAGTCACTTCCCAAAATTAGCTGAAAAAAAAGTTTCATCCGGTTAACTGTCTCTCCGCTACAACAACAAACGTGCCTAGGGGAGCAAGGGCTGGGCGCTAGCACGGGGCACACAGAGCCGGCCCAGGGCGCCAGGGAGGCCGCGCCGGGCCAATCTGAAGGGGCTGCGAGGTCAGGCTGTAACCGGGTCAATGTGTGGAATATTGGGGGGCTCGGCTGCAGACTTGGCCAAATGGACGGGACTATTAAGGTAAGCTGGGGGTGTCAGGGGTGGGAGTGCGGTGGAGCCGATTAGGGCAGTGGGGCGGGCAGATGGGCGCGCGGGGTGTCGGGGTCCCGGAAGACGTGGCCGCTCTCCCTTCTCTTGGCGCCCCGGCTTTGCGCGGTCTTCCCCGGCGCTGCGTTGGTGAGTCCTACGTTGCGGAGAGGCCGGCCAGGCTTTCTCCATCCAGGACGATCTCCATCCCCACCCCCCCTCCTTTACTCTCTTTGCCAAAGTGGAGTCCGGCTCCCTCCCACCCAGCTGCCCCGAGGGCTGCGGGAGGGGCGCGGTGGAATCTGGAGACCCTGAGCGCTGATCAGAGTCAAGGGCGAGAGACCCCCGGGTCTGCTGCTGTTCCATCTCGGCAACCAGGGCGCCCCGGGACCGGAGCTGGACACTCGTTTGGTGGCCAGCTTCCTCTCTCCAGAGGCCGAAAGTAGCGGGGAGCAGGCGCCCAGCTGCCACCGGCTCGGGTCCCTGCCTGGTGGGGGGGTGGGGGTGGAAGGGGCCGAATAAAAGGATTAACTGCCGGCCGATCGGGGTGCCTGGGAGTGCGTCCGTCCGAGGGTCTGCTGGGCTAGCTCTTGTCGATGAAAACCCCTGTTTACAAGCCAGCTAGGCTGGTTTCTCTTCCCTCTCCTCTTTCTGTGGCCGGGTGCTCAGCGCTCAGCAGCCTTAGCAGCCTCGGGCTCCCCGGGACTAACGGGTCAGCTTAGCCTCAGCCGCTTCTCCTGCGGGGGGTCCCTGACCCCGACAGTCTGTCTGCTCCACTCTTCGGCAGCTCAGGCTTTCTGAGCCCCACAAGCGCCAGCTTCCACGGAAGGGTCCCCTAGTAGCTGTTTTCTAAGTGAGAGCCCCCTAGATCTTCAAATTACTCCCCTCCCTCCACACTGCCTGGAGAGTTCAGAGCGCCCCCCACGCCCTGCCCCAACTCCTACCATCCCCATCCACTTTGCCAAGCCTGGGTCTAGATTGCAAAGTGCAGACCAGAGGACTGGTGGAGATCCTTGCTCTGAGCCACCCTCCAGTAGGGGCTACTGACTGCCCTCTCGTAAAGGGGGAAGTGGGGAAGAGAGCAGAGAGGTGGGGGATTCCCCCCCCCACGCCCCGGGACTGGCCTTTGAGGACCTAGCGAATGAATGGGACCAGAAGTTAGCTTCTAGGTCCTTGCAGGACCAAGCAAAAGGTTATCTGGTAAAACTATTAGGCTGGTGAGGTGGGATTGGCAGAGAGACTGTCATCTTTCAGATCCCAGAGGCATCAACTCCCCCCCCCCCCCCCCCACACACACCTAGGTCTGAGCAAAGAAGTCTAAGATGTTGAGCTTAGAGCTTCAAGAGATTTTTATCATCTGGGTGGAGTCGTAGTGGTTTTATTTTCTAAGTTTCTCTCTCTTTCTCTCTCTGAAAGTTTGAAATATGCTGACTGAGGTAAAAAGCACCAACTGAAGGAGTTTGACTCTTGGAGATGAGATAACTGGCATGAGTTAAAAGGAGCCTTTAAAATTCACATGTAGCTCAAACTTAAAATGAGTGGGTGAGAAGAGGGCCATGGAGCCAGGGAGTGGAGGTCACCAGGCCAACTTTACTCTTGTTTCTCTACTTCCTGTTAGTGTGTGCATGCAATTGCCTGCGTCCCTGGGTTCAGTATAGAGATGTTCCATTCTAGAAGGTACTTCTGCTATCAGGACTCCTACACTCACTCTCCTCTACCCCCAGCATCCCTCCCTGATCCTCTGATCTCTGGAAGGGCAACAAGATGGCTCTAGGTCTTGGTGTGGACACCCTAAGGAGAAGTGAGGCAATCTCTATCTCCCCAGTGCTCAGACCTCTATAAGCACAGGCCCTGAGCAGAGGGAGGAAACTGTGGTCTGTGTGTGTACCCGGGATGTGTTAACCTCCTTTGGTACATACTTAGGGATTAGCATGGCAAGCAGTGAGATCAGCCCTTAGACCAGAAATTTGGCACTTTATGTCAAAGATGGGAGTAAAGGTGTCTTGTAAGGTGGATAGCCCTTCCAACCCTCCCTTTAAGCATCTTTTTCTCTTCCTGGGTTACCAGTCTTCAAAGTCACCCACAGAGCCATGGCTTTCAAGCTATGTTCAATTCACTGAGGTTCTGAAAGATGCAGTCTAGAGTGTGTGTTTTGGTTTTCTTATTATGTGGGAGCCACAGATTCCTGTTCACTTGTGACCTTTGAATCTTAGGATTCCAGAAGGAACTGATCTGGGAGAAAGGCCCACCAACTCCTGGTCTTGCTGTGAGAATGCACAATATATTCAGTCTCTTTGTGCTTCATGTTGGTAAAAGCAAGCTGAAGATTAAGTTGCTTCTAGAACGGAGAGTATCTTTCCAATCTATCCTTCCAATATTATGCTTCTGTTCTAGAACATTCGTCTGTATGCGTGCTAAATCCCATCCTGTCATGAAGGAGTTCTGAAGACCCTATAGACGAGACCTAAGTTGTGGAATCTAGAATGCATGCTCTTAGTTTGAATAGCCTGGAAACAGTCAGCTTTGACTGATTCTGGGATGTGATTTTCATGTACTTCTACATTTCTTTCTCAATTATATATATCACAGATCAGGAAGTATTTTGTCCAGGATGAGAGACAAGTCTGGATTTCTTTATAGAAGCCTCTAGCGTTGTGTATTACTTATACAGCTCCATGGGATTATAAATTCCCAATCTTGTTGGCTTTCAGCATTGTGTTCTCCATTCCAAGAATGTCTCCTGAGCACCATATTGGGAATATCAATGATTGTTACTCTTCTCTTGCTAAGGGCAAGTTAACTGGCATATTAAACAACAGCCTACCCTATCACTGCTCCCCACAGTGATATTATCAGTGTTGAAAGCATGTGACAGTGATAATCCTTGCTGCCTAAAGAAATGATGACCTGGTTTTGAAAAATGCATCATAGTTTTAAGCAGATCTCAGTTGAAGCCAATTAATGTTGTCTATGGAAACTTGAATACATACATAGAGAGTCATCAAAGCTGAAGAAGTAATCAGAGAAGTAGCTATGATGGCATACAATTAAGAAATAGGGAAAGGAAGAGAGGACTTGAAGTCAGAAAAGTGGGATCTATTTTTCAGCTCTAGAACTTGTGGATATATGCTGCATAGCAAGACTTTTACCACTTTTAGTCTTGGTTTCCTAATTTATGAAATGAGGCCAAAGCATCTCTTTACCACAGATCACAGTTAGCAAGAAATAAAGTACCTAAAGCTGCATACACATAGGCTGAATTAATCTTTTAGATTCGAATTTGTGGAGGTCTAAAGGGCAGAACATTAGAACCCAGGTCTGGATTTATTATATTGTTTAAATCATTAATTCAGCAAATATAGATATTTCTTATGATCAAGATTCTACATATTGAGAATAAAGTCAGTGATCAAAGCCAGGCTCTGGTGGCTCACACATATAATTAATTCTCAGTAGTCAGGAGGCTGAGCTTTTAGGATCCTAGTTCAAAGCCAGCCTAAGCAAGAAAATCTGTGAGACTTATTTCAAATTAACCACCATAAGCTGAAGTGGAGCTGGGTTTTTGTGTGTGTGTGTGTGTGTGTGGCTCCAGCATAACAAAAAAACAACAACAAAAACATACAAACAAACAAAATAGTTTTTTAACTCTGGGAATTTATACTCTAATGGTAGTGATGGATGTATTTTAAGAGAAAGAGACTTATACCTAGTAGCCATGCATTTTCTGAACAGCCATAAAGATCTTGGGGCACAGAAAATTGATGGTTAGGGAAATCACCACTATCCAACTTAAACTGAGCAGATATGATCTCTCCTAATCCTTTATCTTGGGAAAGTTTAGTACCACACAACCAGTAAGTGATGGAAAAGCAGACTGGGAAAGAGAAGTTGGCTTACAAACCTGGCTTTGAAAACCAGAAGAGAGTCATGTGACAGACAGGCCCTGGATGGAAGGGAAATGTGAGGAAGAAGTCTTGGAAAGCAGCACCAAATGAGAAACACATAGGACCAGACTTGACTGCCACCCTCAGGTACAGGATGGACTGTGACCCTTCCTCCCTGTCCGTCCATGGTCCAGTGCCATCTCCTAGCTTTGAGAAGACTTCAGGCAAGATAGGCTGTCCATGTCTCAGTTACTATAGCCATTAAGCTTGCTCTCAGAAGACAATTACCAAGTGGTAAGCTCTGTTCTCTGTGTGAATAATTTCCACTAAAATGCTCCCGCTACTTCTGTGACTATGCAAATTCAAAATGTGTAGGTTGGCAACTTTAGAGCCTTATTGGGTGTTTGTTGGGACATTCTCGTTGTATGACTAGAGCCATTGAGGCTCCAGATATTAAATGGAGCATCCAAGATCATACAGTTGAATTTTCACAGAAAGAATGAGAATTTAGGAATATGGGGTTCCGTGCTTTCCGCTACACCATGAAGACTGAAGATACTGTTTGCTTTTGTTATATTATGTGAATTAAAGAATCCTAGAGGCAATGTTTGTGTATGTGGGGGAAGGGGCAGACTAAGACAGACCAAGAGAGAAGATAGAAACCTTTAAAAGAGATATCATGAGGAATCTGACTTTGAACTAAAAAACACACATGTCATT